CTCATGCTGTCTGTCTCTCTCAAAATAAATAGATAAAAACTTAAAAAACTTAAAAAAATAAAGCCCACACTGTTGACTACACCACGTCACCTTCCTTAGATATAGAGGAAATGTCCTGTCGATACTCTAGTTTTCACAGTGCACCTGAGAGCCAGTTCAACACAGCAATGCCAGGCCAAGTGCTCCAAAGAAGACTCCAAAGATGTCATGTCGCACAGTCCAAGGGAAAGCCTGGACAGGTCACACATTCTGGAGCAGCAGTAACCGGCAACAGAAAATAATTCTTAACACAGGGGAAGAGTTCGCCCATGTTCACCACTGAGTTTCTGTATCACATTTAGAAAAACAAATCTGCACAGAGGAGCATGATTTGGATTCACTCTCCAAAGTTAATGAAAAGTTAGTGAATGGAGTAGTTCTGGCACAGAGGAGGGCAGGTAGAAGGGAAAGCTTCAGCCCACAGTGAGGGAGAGAAGGCAGAGAGCATGAGTCACCAGGCAGCATTTATCTGTCAGCCCGAGGAGAAAAGAACTGGCTTGGCCTGATGGGCACCATAAAAGGCGAGGCAGAAGGAGGAAGAGGATACATGAAAGATGCCCTTTTAAGAGGCACATAAATCCCACGAGAGCTGTCTGAGAAATTATCCTGGCCTTCGACCACCAAGACCTTGTAAAAGAAAAGGCCTCTGTGGTTGTGAGTGTAACTGCGGAAATGTACGAAAGCAAAGCCACGCAAATTTCTGAGGCAGACCCGTTTGGGCAAAGCATTCATAATCCAGTGAGGAAACAAAGCACAGTGATCCAATGAAAACCACACAGTTCAAACATGCAAGTTCCAGTGACTATGTCACTGTGGAGAACCTGGACGTAAAGAAGTGGCAAAGTTTAAGACAACTCAGCTAAACACAAAGTAAGTTTGTAGGCCAGCTGGGAACATGGACTCTAATTCTTGTTGGATATTCAGCACAGATGTGTACAAGGCGCGCCATCTGCCGGCAAGATTTAGTACTGCTGATTTGGAAAGAATTCTTAGAGGAGGTGCGGAATTCTGGCGGAGGATAATTTACCCTCTTTTGTAGCAACACCACTCGACATTAAGTTCTAGTAACATTAGATGCAATAAATGTCCGATATTCGACCCTTGACTTGCTTATTTCCTGTCTTACAATACAAGACAGAATATCTACTTCTAGACAGGAAGAAATTCTGGACTACCAGGCACTCCCAGTCATTACTTCCTTCCTCTTCTCATTACATAAATGGAATCATACAGTATGAATTCTTTTGGGTCTGGTTTCTTTCATTAAGTATTATGTTTGTGAGAGTCATCCGTGATGTTAGGCAAAGGAGCAGTTTGATCATTTTCTTTGTATGAATGAACAGATCACAATTTTATCTATTGTACTTTTTTAAAATTTTGTTTTAATGTTTATTTATTTTTGAGAAAGAGAAGGAGAGACAGAGTGTGAGTGGGAGAGGGGGAGAGAGAGGGAGACCCAGAATCTGAAGTAGGCTCCAGGCTCGAGCTGTCAGCATAGAGCCTGACATGGGGCTCGAACTCACAAACTGTGAAATCATGACCTGAGCTGACGTTGGACACTTAACCAACTGAGCCACCCAGGCGCCCCTATCTATTGTACTTTTCTAAAAAATATATAATTTATTGTCAAATTGGCTTACATACAACACCCAGTGCTCATCCCAACAAGTGCCTTCCTCGATGCCCATCACCCATTTATCTATAGTAGTTTTGATGAACAGTTGGGTTGTTTCCAATTCTTGGCTATTATAAATAATGTAGCTTTGGACATTCTTGGCCATTTCTTTTGATGAACATATGTGTGCATTTGTGTTATATTTAGGAGTGATACTGCTGTGTCACAGAGTAGGCAAATATTCAAATTTAGAAGATGAAGCCAAACCATTTTCTAAAGTAGTCATACCAAATACATTCTAAACTACAACATATGAGAAACCATGTAAGAGCATGACATCCTTACCAACACTTGATATTATCAGTCCTTTTAAAAAATTAGCCATTCTAGTGGAGATGTAGTAGTATCTTCTGATTTTAATTTTAATTTCCCTGATGACTGATGAAATGGAACATTTAGGATGTTTATTAGCTATGTGGGCGTGTGTGTGTGTGTGTGTGTGTGTGTGTGTGTGTGAAGTCTCTTGCCTGCTTTTCTATTCTGTTGTCTGTCTTTGTTTTATTGATATATAGGAGTTTTTTTTACAGATTCTAGATATAAGTCCTTTGCCAGTTATGTGTATGACAAATATCTTCTTCCTCTCTGTGGTATGAAATATATGGTGATTTAAATACAGAGGAGGGGGTTCAGGAGAGCAGGCAAGAAATAGAAAGTCAAAGGAGTGACATCAGAACTCTAGGACCCAGGAGTGAATGTATAATTTCATCACATGTATGTAATTGCACTATCTATCTATCTATCTATCTATCTATCTATCTATCTATCTATCTACATGTGTGTATATGTATATGTATATATAATTGCATCAACGATGTATGTGCCTTGGTTGTGGATGCTCTGATATGACCATGGTCCTCTTTTGCTTCTGGACAGTGGCCATGGAGAAGCCATGGACACAGCATCATGGGAGAAGCTCCTTCTGCCTGAAAGCAGGCAGGTTCTCTGCCAGAACCTCCTGCCATCATGTATTCAAAACACCCTAAACCGGAAACTTACTGTGCAAATGACAATTTGATCCGTGCTTGAATTTCTATCCATTCCTCCTTTACAATCCTTCCACATTGCAGCAGCTCCTTTGCAAGTGTCTCTGCCTTTGTCAAATTCTCGGAAGCTTCTTTAAACCTGAGTTGTGTTCAGGAAACGTCACACATAGTTCTAGATTCTGGGACCCCAGTTCTTGGGACATCCTTGGCTCTTAAACTTCCCATCACCCTTTCAGAGTCATCTGTCAGCTTTTGATTTGGCCTTGAAAAATTAAACGTAGGCATTATGAATGGCATTTCTACGTGTAAATATTAGAAGCAAAAGGATACTTTTGAAGGGAGAGTAAGGCTCTCCCCATGGTATGGAATAGCTCAATCGAACACTTGAAAACATCTGTATTGTCGTTATAGGGAGGCACGATGGAGTTGGTGAGGATTTCTTTGGCTTTTTCTGCATGTTGTTTTGCTTGCAGGGACAGTCCTGTGGACAAAGGAAAAGAGGTCTCAGTTTCTCTTTCATGTCAGCAGGGCACATGACCATAATGATCTATGGCCAGGAAATAAAATTAGGTCTCCTCCACAGACTGTCAAGTGACACATAGAGATATATCAGGGCAGCATGAAATATTGTCCTGAGTGTAAAAACCAAAGCAGTGGCTTACACCTAGTACTCAAGATAAATCTCCCCCAAATGGTCTTTCTAGAAATTAAACAGCATGAGCGGGAATTGAACAACTTTGAAACCTCACCAATATCAGATATGAAATATATTCTAAATAATTATAAGAAAACAAACGGAATGCAAGGACTATAGCATTCTGGGCAGGAAATAAGATATTCATGAATTTTCATTCTGGCTGTGTGACAGCAATCTTCATACTAAAAATTCTGAAGCTTCTGCTTATCCATCTATAATCATAACTTTAGAGGGTTATTTTAACATAATAAAAATACAATGATATCTAAAAACACTTTACAGATACAATTCCAATGACAGAATGGGCTAATGTGCTACAATCTTATTCCTATAAATTTGTTGGCTAATATGACAACATGGGACAACATCAAGGAAAATAATCTCTACCAAGAACGAATTCCCCACTGTGTTCCAGTGTTCTTCCATGGGCTTATTAATATGTAGTAAGGGTGGCAAGGGGGGTTGCCAGTTAGGTTTCAGGGCTTTTCACTTCTCCATACTCCCAACCATTTTCCCCCACACTGACGTCCTTCATTCTATCCACATCTATACACCCCGGTCTTTTTTTTTTTTTTTTTTTTTTTTTTTTTTTTTTTTTTTTTTTTTATGAAAGTGTATCTCAGAATCTCTAGGAAGCTGCCAAAATACAAAATTAATGCTGTTCTGATGTCTATAAAATGGAAGAATATACTTTCTGATGGAGAAATTCCAAGGTATGTCCTTCATGTGGGAACTCTTATAGATTGTCTAATTTTTTTAAAGTACATATTTAATCAACCTACCAGTGATTTTTTAGTGCCAATTACACATGCAATATTACAAAAGTTAGTGGTGCATTGTATTTCTTAAAAATTTTATTTATTTATTTTGAGAGAGAGTACATGAGCAGGAGAAAGGCAGAGAGAGAGGGAGAGAGAGAATCCTAAGTACTCTCCATGCTCAGCACGGAGTCCTATGAGGCTGGCTCTCCTGACCTTGAGATCACGACCTGAGCCAAAATCAAGAGTCAGACACTTAATTGAGTCACCCAGGTACCCGCTCTCACTTTAACTTGAGAAAGAAAGACTATCATGCAAAAAGGTAGCAGCCTATGGAAGAAAAGCATTATTTGAAATCCCAGATGCCAGGTCACTGGTGCTGGCATCCAAAACCCTACTAACATTATAAGTTGGATAAGTTGTTTCATCTCATTTGTCTCCTCTGGATCTAAAAATATAGGAGGGGGTTCTGGGGTTTGAACTAGATAATCTCCAGGGTCCCCTCTGGCTCTAAAAATCTTTGATCTAACAAGTGGGACCAGTTAATAATCAGATTTGACCAAATTCATTGGGTGGCAATTCTGTGCTTAGCACTGTGGTGTTTTCCACTTCTTGTTATTTTATTTATTCACTGGATCCATCCTGGGAAGTTAGTACCACCATCATTATCATCACTTTTAAAGAAAGGGAGTACACCTCGTCCTGGGTGAAGGAGAAGAAGACATGATATCCTGTTGTTTTTTGCCTTCCCTGCATCCATTCCTCCTTCCTTCGTTTTCTTCTGAGAATGCCCAGCCCCTGTACACCCAATCCATGTGATTTAGCCAAGGTCAGCCTGTCCTCCAGGATCTAGTGGAGCCAAAAGGCAGATCTATCATCTGACTATTCCTTGCCTTTGACCTACCATCCAAGTCAGCCCCAATAGAACCCCCAACTCCTGAGATTTTGGTGAAAAGACATTCTTACTTTTTTTTTCCCTGGGAATGCTGATGAAGGAAGTCTAAATAAAACTTCTGCAAGCCTTGCTGCTGCCAGATGGGCAAAGCCTGGGTAAGAACAAAGTCCATGCAGAGAAAAACAGAGCCAAGGGGAAGATTAAGAGAGAAACACAAATCTGATGACATTGGTTGAACACCTGGTTTAACCTGTGTAGACACCTGGTTGTCTATAGCAAGTTTTACCCTTGCGTTTTCAAGTTGTATGAGCCAATACATGAACTTTTGTTTACTGCTGGCTTGATTTCATCTCTTATTTATGTTTTTTTTGGGGGGGAGGGGTGTTGCTTACAGGCAAGAAATTCTCCATCAAAACAAATGTGAATGGATCCCATTGTAGGCCCACGCTCCATGCCTTGGGCCCCTTCTGCAATACCTTCAAAGCTAACAATTCTCTCCCAAGAACCCTACTTTTAAGATCATAAATAAAGGGCTCTCCAAAGCCCTCCAAAGGGCTAAAATCTTCCTTCTCTTTTTTATATATTATATAAAAAAATCTCATTCACTCTTTCTGAAATGAGATGGCTACTCAATGGGTGGAGAGGAGAATATTCAAGAAAACTGAATCCTTCTAGTTATGTGTGAGTCACATTTGCACGAAAGAGCAGAAACCCATGGATTGTTACCTCTCCCCCTCCCGCCACCATTGGAGATGAACTCACCTTTCAGCTGGAGGTAGCCTTGGGCCAGATTAACATGTGCCTCTGCTAGTTTCCAGTGTGAGTCACCATAGCAAATTCTCGTCAGCGCCATGCAGCGTACAAGCTCGCGGACAGCCTGTTCATACTGTGACGGACAGAAAATGGGCTTACGAGCTAGATGACTTGAAAACACAGAGTCACAAAGCACAAAGTCAACTAGCATTTTTGTCCATTCAGTGTATATTTCCTGAGTACCTACTAGGTGCCAGGGATACATCAGAGAAGAAAATAGACAAAGATCTGTTTTGGGCTGTGGGCGGTTCATCTATTAGGGTGAAATAGACAATACCTGACAGAAATGAATAAACTTTATAGTATATTTAAATGGATAAAACATTTAAACTTTTAGTACCTTATGAGAAAGATAACAAATAAAGAAGAAATAGAAAAAGAAGAGCAGACATCTAACCATTCCCTAGGCTTTCGCTGCCCATCTATGAACAGCTACTACACATTCAAGCACCAGGGGGCAAGTGGTACCAGTTTTCAAATAAGGCTCTCTGGTTCTCCATTCAAATACCTTTCTTAGCAGCCTAGGGTATCAGCATAGCAAATGAGGTTGGCAACTGACAAACAGATTTCATTAAAGCAGTGAGAAGTCCATTTATGTTCAGTGTCTGGACCAAGAGAACAGGGAGCTGGTATGTCCAGTTCAGGTCAGCTCGGAGCAGCAATATACTCAAAGCAAGGCTGGTAGTTTTAAAATATAGCTCCAAAATCCTTTGACTCTTTCCATCCAGAGATAGGGGATCTCTGTCTCCTTCCCTTTGAATCTGGGCTTTATAACTGGCTGATAGAATATGGATGGGATGAAGCAGTGCCAGTTTGGGGGCCCAGGTCTTAAGGAACTGGCTGCTTCCGTTTTCTGTTTCTTCTTAGAAACAGAACACAATTGTGGGCTGAGTTGTGTCCCCACTGCCCCTTAAACTCAAATTTTGGAGGCCCAAGTACTTTAAAATGTGACAGTATATGGAGAGAAGGTCTTTAAAGAGGTAAGTTAAAATGAGGCCGTTAGGGTAGAGCCCTAACCCAACATGGCTGATGTTCTTATAAGAAGAGGAAGAAATACCAGGGATGGGCACGCAGAAAGAAAAAAATTGTGAGGACATGGGGAGAGGGCACCGTATTCAAGCTAAGCCTCCAAATGACATCAACCCTGCCAACATTTTGATCTTGGACTTGTAGCCTCCAGAACTTGGAGAAAATAAACTTCTGATGTTTAAGCCACCTCGTCTGAGGTATTCTGTTATGGCAGCCCTAGGAAACTGATAACCTAACCACCATGCTATGAGGAAGCCTAAAGAGAGGCCCTTGTAGAAAGGTACCAATAGCTGACACCAATTAGTCAATCAGAGGAGGGAGCCATCTTGGCAGTGGATTGTCTCTTTGTAGATAGAGTCCAGCTAAAGCTGGGAGTTTAGGGAATGGCTTCCTTGGAGACATAGCAAGTGAATACAGTGAAGAAAAAAGAAAGAAATGATGAAAACACTTGGGAGTCTAGACAGACAGTCGGGCAAAAAGAGAGAGGACCTGATCTGACAATGAATCTATCCCAACCACAGATTTCTAAGAAGAGGGCTATGTAGACTGAAAGTCAGGCCCCTCAATTGTAGCCTGGGTCCTCACTACCTGCAACTGGGGTACAGAAGAGCAGCCTGCCCTCCCTCAACCTTTTTACTTGCTAGAATGCACACTCCAAATATCCCTTTGGCTTTCTGATCTTTATTCTGCCAGTTCCAGTGGCTTCATCCAACAGGCATAGGGAGGAGGCAGACAGAAGAGAAGTATAAGTAGGCAGACAATTTCATAACTGGGATGTGCCTTGGAAATAATATAATTTGATCCCTTTAATTTAAAGAAGAAATGTAAATCTGGAGAGATGAAAGGATTTATCACCAAATGGTAGAGTCGAGACTTAAAATTCAGCTCCCTGAGGCCAAGTCCAGAGTTCTTTTCACAAAACCATTCTTGGGCCACGTGAAATTTCTTTAACTCCTTAACATTAAAATATGCAGCTCTGATGATCAGTAGGTCTGGCCATATATATATTTAATAATGAGTTTTTGGGGTGCCTGAGTGGCTCAGTTAAGCGTCAGACTTCAGCTCAGGTCATGGTCTCACCGCTCATGAGTTCGGGCCCCACGTCAGGCTCTGTGCTGACAGCTCAGAGCCTGGAGACTGCTTCTCATTCTGTGTCTCCCTTTCTCTCTGTCCCTCTTCTGCTCACACTTTGTCTTTTCTCTCAAAAATAAATAAATGTTCAAAAACAATTTTTTAAATAAAAAAATAAAAATGAGTTTTTAATACCCAAATCTTGGTGTCTAAACACTATTCTTTGCTAAGAATCCACAGCTGGAGCAGGGAAAGTATAAGATGAATCTGAAAAATCTTGCTGTGTCTGAAATGAGTAAAGATCAATGGGGATGTATCGAGGAGGTGGGAGCCAGTGTGAAGGGGCAAATACCGGCAAATATGAAACAATTCATGTTTTGACGATTATAATAGATGGTAATACATTTCAAAAGCAATTTCCTGAGCCCATAACTTATATAAATGAGTGAATAATAGAGTGTAAAGAAGGAACACTCTTCCTTATAGAAATGCCAAATAAATATTGAAAGAATGCTGAGGTCAGAGAATTTGCCATTTGGCAAACATCGTAGTAATAACTGATTCAAGTGAGAATCATTAATGGACGCTAAAACTAGGGGGTGACATTTTAATGAGGAAAAGGACACACACACAGTTTTGCTGAATCTTCCCACAAGATACTTATTAATTACAAAGGGAAGAATAGTAATCCCATAGAGAAGAAGCCTGCCAGACAGCACCTGGACCAAGTGATCAAAGTTAGCATCACGGTAAAGAGACAAGAGGACACCATATGCGTCCTGCTGTGATACACTAAAAAAGACCCATAGGTCTTGTCTGTGGAATTCTGGCCCAGAATGGACAACCTGTATCTAATCATGAGGACACACATGAAAAAAGCAAATTGAGAGATACTGTACAAAATAATTGGAGTGTACTTGTGAAGGACTGAATATTTGTGTCCCTCCAAATTCATATGTTGAGGCTCTAACCCCCAATGTGGCATTTAGAGACAGGCCTCTAAGGAAGTAATTGAAGTTAAATGAGGTCATAAAGGTGGGGCCCTGATCCAACAGGATTACTGTCCTTATAAGAAGCGTCACCTTTCTCTCCCCCTTCTTTACCACTGCCCCCCAACACAAAGAGGTCATGTGAGCACACAGCAAGAAGGCAGCCATCTACAGCCCAAGGGGAGAGCTCTCACCAGACACAGACCCTGCTGGAACCTTGCTCTTAAACTTCCTTCAGTCACCCAGTCTGTGGTGTTGTATTGTGGCAGCCAGAGCAGACTAACACAGTAAGTTTTTCAAAAATATCAAGATCATGAAAGACAAAGGCAGGCCAAGGAATCGTTCTAGTAGATTATAGAAGGCTAAAGAGACTTCACAACTATATTCTATGTGAATTAATAGAGCAGAGCATGGATCTGTCTGATTTTTTTTCTGCCAAAGACGCTATTGAGATAATTCAAGAAATATGGATAAGGTTAGCAGATTAGATAATAATATTATACCAATATTAGTTTCTTAATTTTATTTTATTTTTTTAATATGAAATTTATTGTCAAATTGGTTTCTATTCAACACCCAGTGCTCCTCCAGTTTCTTGATTTTAATCATGATCCTGTGGGTATGTAGGAGTATCCTCTAAGATAGTTAGGGGTAAATCTATAATATCTGTAATTTACTCTGAGATAATTGAGAAAAATAATGACACACACACACAGAAATAAAGCAAATGTTAGCAACTGGTGAGTCTTGTAACTTTTCTGTAAGTCTGAAAGTATTTTAAAGTAAAATAATGCCAACAAAAGGTTATTTTAAAAAGCAAATTACATCATGTTAATACTTTCCAGAAAACACTTTTAAGGGCTTGCACGGCACTTAGCTGGAGACCTGCAAGGTCCTAAGTGAACTGCCTGCCTCTCCAACTGCATTTCACGTCAGTCTGGAGCTTCCTTTCTCACTTCAAACATGTCTCGCTTGTGCCCACCTCATAGATTTTACATGTGCTGCTTCCTCTCCTTAGAACTCTTTTCCCTTAACTCCTCCAAGCTGGCTCCTTCACTTCCTAAGGTCTCAGCTCTTACGTCACCTGTTCATAGACAGGCCCACTCTTTCCTCAATAGCACTTGACATAGTCTCTGGCTTGCTAGTGTATTTGCAATGCGGACTGCCCCTCAGCTCCATGAGGCCATGCAACCTGCCTGCGTTGTTCACCACGGTATCCAGGGGTGCCTCAACTGAACTGCAGAACACAGAAAATAATTTAGTGCCATCCTAGACCCACAGAAGAGAAGCTAATTCTTTACACACATTGAATGCCTTAGGGCATTAAGGCTTAATTCTCTTGCAGGACTCTGGTTGAGAAAGGCTGCCAGCCCAGTTCCTACCTAGCACACAGCCTGGCACACAGTGCATACTGATCTGTTGCATAATGAATAAGTACACATTCAAGACCAAATTCATGCCTCCTCTCCATAATCCTGCTCTTCCGCCTGTATTCATTTAATGGCAAAGGGTCTGGCAAGCCTCTAGTCACCCAAGTTGGCTGAGACCTAAGTCATGAATTGTATACATCCACTCTGATTCACTCTTGCCTCTACAAACCCTACATCCCCTCAGTCACCAGGTCTTCCTGATTCACATTTCCAAATTCCTGCCAGATGATCTTAGCATCTTTACTGACCCTGCTACATGTAGTTCAGGCTCTTCTAATTCCTTGCTGGTATAATTACAAATATCTTCTGAACTGGGCCTCCTCCTCCAATTTTGCTCCCTTCTCACCCTTCCTCCACTCAGCTATGTGAGTGATCATTCCAGACGCTCAAATCTGCTTGTGACACTCCTACTTATCATCCTAGGAGAGTTTCTACTACCTTTAGGAGGAAATCTGAACTCCTTCTCTGGGTATTGAACACCCTCTGGGCCCCAGCTCCTTCCATAATCCAACCTCATTTCCTGCGCTATGTCACTAAAGCCTGAATCCTATGGAAGCAACTTAAGTGTCCATGGATGGGTGAATAAATAAAGAAAATATGATACATATATATAATGGAATATTATTCAACTGTAAAAAGTAAGGGAATTCTGCCATTTGTGACAACATGGATAGACTCGAGGCATTATGCTAAGGAAATAAATCAGAGAAAAACAAACACTGTATGATCTTACTTATATGTGGAATCTTAAAAAACAACAACGAAAAGCTTCATAGATATAGAGAACAGACAGGTGGTTGCTACGGGGTTGGGAGGTGTGTAAAAAGGGTGAAGGCAGTCAAAAAGTACAAACTTTTAGTTATAAAATAAATAAGTCCTGGGGATGTAACATACAACATTATGACTATAGCTAATAATACTATACTATACAGAATAATACTATTCTATATCTGCTACCCCTGCCCAGAACACTATCGTCTTCGCTCTTACCTGGCCTACTCCTAAGCACTGTTATCAGTGCAGGCCAAGTCACTCCCATCCCAAGAAGCATGCCTTAACTGATCTCCTTTCACCACCTCCGTGCCCACTGCCTCCCCCTTCCTCTACGTTTTGCATCTATTTCACCCAAACTTGAGTCCATCACAGAACTTATCACACTGACTACCATTGTCTCTACCCCTGCCTATCATCGCAATCAAACCATGAGTCCCTCCAAGGCAAAGGCTAGCTTTCCCATCCGTGCCCCCAGCACCTGCACAGCACCTGGCATATATTAGGTATACATTAGATATCTGTGAAATAAATGGATGGACAAACAGGGCCCAACACCTAAGTGGTGGCAGAAAAATGCATATGGAATAAGCAAGTGAATGAGTAAAACTTTCAGAAAACAAGATCAAGAGAAGTTTTGTCTGCTTTGTTATGTTCCCATGCCTAGACCTGGCACTAGGGGGAGCTCAATAAGTGTTTATTCACTGATGGAAAAAGATGGCAGTAGATCAAACCTACAACCCAGTGGTCTAGTACACACTTGCCAGAGGTCAGGATAGACTTGTTTGTTCATTTCTGCATTCATTCAGCAAATACAATGTTGACTGTACCAAGTGATGTGCTTGGAGCCCCGAGGGGCTACACCCACTCATCCCCTATATACTCTCTTGTACCAAAGAGGGTAGAAATATAGCCTAGACGCTCAGTCATTATCAGAGCACAGGTGTAGAAAATGAAGGATCCTTACTTTGTGACTGCTAGAATAAGACTTCGCTTTCTCTTCACAGAGGTGGAGTTTCTCTCGAGGAGGCTGGAATAGTGCTGTCTGAGGCAGCTTGTTTTGGATCTTCTTTCTAGGTGTAATGCTGACAGCAGCAACAATTTCATCCAGGTGATTGGATATGTGGGTTTCCTTTGATTCTTGCATATTTTTATATACATTGTCCTCTAATTTTTAAATAAGAAAACAAAGGTGTTAAATGATAATTATAGTTACCTTTATAAATACACATTTTCCCCAGAAATTGATGCTAGGTCTAAGAAAATTTCAACACTTTACCCATGACTTCTTTGAAATTGGTAGCATTTCATCCAAAACGATCTCAATAGCTACTACTAACTTCTCTGTAAAACTTTCAGGCTGATTTCCACACTTTAAGCTAAACCAAACATTCCTCATTCATTTATATATATGTATATAAATGATATAGATACATACATATATGTATATGTATAGATACATACATATGTATCTATACATGCACGTATGTATAGATACATACACATATACATACATGTATGTATATATACATACGTGCGTGTATATACATACGCGCATGTATATATACATATGTGCACATATATATACATATGTGCATGTGTGTGTGTATATATATATATATATATATATATATATATATATACATGTATGTATATATATTGAACCCAACTGTGGTTCAAAGAAGAAATCAAAAAAGAAATTTGAAAGTAGCTTTAACTGGATGAATATAAACACAACATATATATTATATATATAAGTATAGACAAAGGAAATCAGCCAAGCCCAAACAACTCAGAACGCAGATTAGATCACCTGAACACCAGCTGACCTTGAAGGAGGAAAAAAATGATTTATTAAACTTTCACTTCTGGCCAAAATGGAGTTATGGGGATCAGATTTATTCTCTTGCCTGAAATAACCAGCCAACCAACAAACACACAAAAACAAAAAACAAACAAAAAAACCCACACAGACCCAAAAAAAAGCTATGGAATAATCATTTCCAAGAGACAGGATATCAGATCTGATCAATGGGAAAAAGAAACAAAGTGAGGCCCATGATTGCCCCAGCTTATTGCTTTGAGAAAGTTTCCAGGACATGCAGGGAGCGGAAACCCAGAAGTAACCTGGTGGACTCTCAGTTGAGGAAATAGAGCTGAGGATCTGGGGAGAACAAGGGAGCTAGAGTTCAAAGGAGAGATTACCGGAGAGGATAGAGATGCACAGAGAGAGGATCCTGGAGATTAACAGAGGGATCCTTACAAATATGGGGAGAGAATAATGATCAGCATGTGTATAAGAAAAATACTTGAATCTGGAGAAAATCCTCTAGAAATATTGAAAGGAACAGAGTCTGGCATTCACACGGGGCTGGCAGTGCCTGCTCCCACCAACCAACCTGGAAAACTCATAATTCATGATGCATTGGGTAAAGCACTCAGAAGAGTTTTGCTTCAGTAAAACCCCTAGACTGAGCACTGCTTAGACCCACCTAATAAAGCATAAAAATAAGATCTAAAAGGATCAATCTGTTTCTGAGTAACTTAATTGTACCAGAAGACAAAACTAAAGGATGTATAGGAATACAAAAACAGGTAGCATGCAACAAGGTAAAATTCACAAAGTCTGACACCCAATTAAAGATTACTAGGTATGTGAAGGGTCAGGAAAACATGGGCCATAATGAGAAGAATAATCAATCAAAACCCAGAACTGACACAGATGTTAAGTTAGTAGAGAAGAACAGTTTTTATAATTAATTGTATTTTACATGTTTAAACAGTTAAGTAGAGACAGGGAAGATATATATAAAAAAAACAAATTGAACTTCTAGATGTGAAAATTATATGTGAAATGAAAAATACACTACATGGGATAATGACAGATTAGATATTACAGATGAAAAGATGACTGAACTTGTACACATAGGAATAGAAACCATCTAAAAAAATTGACTCCTTATAGGAAGCAGATTGTAGCAGGGACAGAAAGAATATTTGAAGAAATAACAGCCCTAAATTTCCCAAATTTTTGAAAAACTAAAAAGCTAGAGATCTAAGAATTCAACGAACACTAAACACAAGAAACAGAGAAAACTACACCAACACACACCAAAACCAAGGTAAAGTGAAAAATCTTAGATGTAGGAAAAAACCATATTAGTATGAAAAAATAAAGATACGAATGACAGATTTCTTGGAGGAAAAAAAGACACATGAGAAGAAAGTGAAACAACATACTTAAAGTATGTAAAGAAAAAAAGTTGTCAAGGTAGAATTCTGCACCAGTGAAAATATCTTTCAAAACCAAAAACTGAAAGAATTAATCATCAGCAGATTTGCACTCCAATGTTCTCCACGAATTATTAAAGGAAGTCTTTCAGAGGGAAGGAAAATGATAGCAAATGGAAATCTAGATCTACACAAAGGGATAAAGGACAATGGGAATGATGTTTACAGGGGCAAATATGATAAGACTATTTTCATATTATTTAAATCTCTTTTAAATAAAGAAAATATTTAAACCAACTTTTTAAACAAAAAAATAATAATGTTCTGTGGGGCTTATAACATATGTATAAGTGAAACGTATGACAACAGAAGCATAAAGGCTAGGAAGGAAGGAATGACATTGTGAAGTTCTTATACTATATGTGGAGTGGTATAATATTAACTGAAGGTAGACTAAGTCAAAGGTGTATAGTATAAACCCTAAGATACCATTAAAATAACAAAATAGAGAATTATAGGTAATAAGCCAACAAAGGAGATAAAAAGACACATAAAAACAATCCAGTAGAAATGATAAAAAGGAGGGAAAAGGGAACAAAGAAAAAATGGGACAAACAGAAAATAGATAGCAAGATGACAGACTTAAATCTAACCCAACTGTATGTTGCCGACAAGAAATTCACCTCAACTAGAGAAAGAAAATTAGACTGAAGATAAAATTATGGGGGTGTCTGAGTGGCTCAGCCGGCTAAGAGTCTGTCTTCCACTCGGGTCATGATCTCACAGTTCGTGGGTTTGAACCCTGTGTCAGGCTCTGACAGCTCAGAGACTGCAGCCTGCTTTGGGTTCTGTGTCTCCCTCTCTCTCTGCCCCTCCCCCATCATGCTTTGTCCTTCTCTCTCTCAAAAATAAATAAACATTAAAAAAAGACAAAATTATGGAACATAATATACTAAAATTAGACAAAAACAAACTTGGATTGTCTACATTAATATTAAAGTAAATTGTACAGCAAAGAATATTATCATAAAGATGGTCATTTCATAATTATAGAAGGCCAATTAGTCAAGAGGATATAATTATTCCAAGAGTTTATACACTTAATAACAGTTTCAAAATATGGGACCCCAAACTGATGGAAATGCAAGGAGAAATAGACAAATTCTCAATTATAGTCTGAGATTTCAGTACCTTGCTCTTAATAGTTGATATACCACGAGGCAGAAAATCAGTTAAGGATACATAAGACTTGAACTACATCATCAACTAACTTGGTTTGACACTTACTAGAACACTATACTTAAGAAGAGCAGAATACACATTCTTTTCAAGTGCACATGGACACGAAGACAGATTCTATTCTGGGTCGTAAAACAAGTTTCAAAAAATTTATAAGGATTCAAGACATAGAAAATATATTCTATGACTACAACAGGATTAAATCTTAAATCAATAATACAAAGATATCTGGAAAATGTTCAAATATTTGGAAACTAAATAACACACTTCTAAAAAAACCCCAACCATGGTTCAAAGAAGGAATCAAAGAAGAAATTTGAAAGTAGCTTTAACTCAAAGAATATAAACACAACATACAAGAATTTGAGAATGCCACTAAAGCAGTCCTTATGGAGAATTTATAATATTAAATGCCTATATAAGAAAAGTAGAACGTTCTCAAGGTCATAATCTTAGCTTTCACCTTCAGCGACTTGAAAAAAAGAGCAAATTAAACTCAAGGTAAACAGAAGAAAAGAATTAATAAAATAAATAATAAAGCTAACCTCACATCAATGAAATAAACATAGAAAAACAATAGGAAAAAAATCTATGAAAACAAAATTTGGTTCTTTGAGACCAATCACATTGATAAATCTCTATCTTGACTAATTATGAAAAAAGGAAAGAAGACACAAATCACCAATATCAGGAATGAGAGAGATGACATCACTACAGATTCTACAAGTATTAGTTTTTTAAAAAATAGTTGTTTATTAGGGGTGTCTGGGTGGCTCAGTTGGTTAAGCGTCCGACTTCAGCTCAGGTCATGATCTCGCAGTTTGTGAGTTTGAGCCCCACATGGGGCTCTGTGCTAATGAGCCTGGAGCCTGCTTCAGATTCTATATCTCCCTTTCTCTGTCCCCCCTCCCCCTCGCGCTTGCTCTCTCTCTCTCTCTCTCTGTCTCAAAAATAAACATTAAAAAAAGATTTGTTTATTTTTGAGAGAGAGAGAGAGACAGAGCATGAGTGAGGGAGGGGCAGAGACAGAGGGAGACACAGAATCCGAAGCAGGTTCCAGGCTCTGAGTTGTTAGCAGAGAGCCTGGCCTGGGGCTCAAACTCATGGACTGTGAGATCATGACTCGAGCTGAAGTTAGATGCTTAACCGACTGAGCCACCCAGAGGTCCCAACAAATATAAATTTACTATGGGAATATTATGAACATCTTATGCCAATACATTTGACAACTTAGATGAACAGACAAATTCCTCTAAAGACACAAAATACTAAAGCTCACGCAGGAAGATATAGTTTGAATAGCCCTATATCTATTAATGAAACTGAATTTGTTTTTTAAAAACCTTCCAAAGACAAAAACCAAAAAAAAAACCCCAAACAACTCCAGACCCAAATGACTTCATTAGTGAATTATATCAAATATTTAAGGAAGATATAATAGCAATTTCATGCAACTTTTTCAAGAAAATTGAAAAAAGAGAATATTTCCTAACTCATTCTAGGAGACCCTGATGTGAAAACAAGACAAATACAAGACAAGAAAACTGCAGATCAATATCCATCCCTCAGGAACATAGATGCAAAAATTCAAATTTTAGCAAATTAAACCTAGTAATATGTAAAAGAGAAAATACATCATGACCAAGTACAGTATATCTCAGGAATACAAAATTGGTT